TTAGCATTAGGAAATCTGAGGAAGGAACGATCAGAGTCTGTTCCTTTCATCTGATGAGTTTGATCTTTTGGACCAACCAAAGTGCATGTTTACCACAGTAAATGAGAACTGCTCCACTCTAGAGTTCTTTGAATAGTTTTTAAATCAGCGGCATCCCATCGCAGCTCTTCTTTTAGTAGAGGTACTGACCGCCATGTTGGGTTGGTAGGAGCTGCCTGATAGCGTCACCTGTAGCAGCTCAGGGGGTTGTAATGAATGTCTAATCAGCTTTGAGTGAACTGAGAGTTTTCCCATTAGAAAGCTTTAAAAAGCCTCCAGGACCAACGTCTCTGGGAGCTGCAGGGCGTTCCTGCTCACCTTTAAACTGATGCGCTGCCTTCAGCAGGCAGAGGCTCCGAACGTTTCCTCACTGTGTTTAGAAACCTGATCATCACCCTGAGAAAATGTTCCTGCTTCTATGGAAGCAGAGTAAAACGCTCAGTCCGTCTCCCTCCTGGTGTCCGCAGGTGGTCGCCGACACCTTCCACATGTCGGCGGCTGATCTGCAGTCAGAAGTGGAGCGATGGCGGCGACTGGCTCAGGACAGGAGCAGAGAGCTGGACGCTTTCCGCTCAGAGCTGGACTCCATCCTGGACATCCTGAGACACCTCCAGAAGCAGGGGGGGGTCCTCCCACCCCTGAGATAACAGCCCGCCTGCTGCAGGACCGTTAGCGGCCATCAGAAGATGGCCATCAGGCGGCTAGAGGACGACGGCTGCCGCTCTGATCAGTGACTCTGAGCCTTTAGATGTTTTCTACCTAATTTATTATTGATGTAATAAATAAACATTAAATAAATGATACTTTAGCAGGCTGGATTATTAAACTGGAATCTAAAAACCTCCAAACTTAGCCAGTATGGTCCAGTATGGACCCAGTCTGAGTAAAGATGGCTGCCTTCTCCAGTGGGATCAGTAACAAATACTTCCCCTACGGTAAAATCAATCTTATGAGGAACATTTCCACAAACATTTAGAATGAAAACTAAGGTTTGTTGTGTGATTTTATGAGAAGTTTACAAATATACTAAATAACTCTGAAGATGAAGATAAATTTCCATGAACCTGACAGCAAAGTGAGCTCATGTCGCACCATCGAAGTTAAGATGAATTCAGCTTCATCACTGATGGATTTTATTCCAATAAAGCAGAAAAAGATCAAAGATGTTCACTTTCTTTTATTAGGCAAAGAGTTATTAATAGAAACCCGACTAAATAAGGAGACCTGAGACAGTTTAAAGAGTCCTGATTAGACAGAAGCACCAGAGGACGAACAACAATCGCACCAACATCTGGAGAAACATCAGCTGTGAGGAAGCCATCTTTCTTTATATAGAAAAGTCTTTTTTAGCAGAAAGTCCTGCTGCTGTTTCCATCAGCGGCAGGCGGCCATGTTCCCGCTGCCTGTAGGAGCTCAGCGGTCGGACCTGCAGCCTCTTTATCCTCCAACAACCGTCGGTATAAATAAAAGACTTCTGTTTTTCTCTCTGGGGGGCGGAGCTTGTCAGCCCTGGAAGGCGTGGTATTCCTCCTCGCTGAAGCCCAGCCGCTTCAACAGCCTGAATGAAGAAGAAGAAGAAAAAACTCAGTGTTTTCCTCAGCATCTTATCAACCCATTTAGAGTTCAAGACAGCTTTTCATGTTATTATCATCACATTATTAGGATCAAATCACTACCAGGTCTCATCCAACCATGACTCAGCAAGTTCTCTATGCAGCTGCTGCCATTTCTGCCTCTAATGAGAAGGACCCACGTTAAAAAGTCAAATGTTGGTTATAGAAACCGACTTCCAGCACAGAGAACAGAGGCAGAATGGCTACCCTTCTCATGGTGCTGCTGATTGGTTCGTCACCTTCATGGATGAACTGCAGGCCTGTCTGTCCCATATGCTGGAGCTCAGTGGAGGAGCTCTGAAGGTTATCAGCAGAATGCTGCTGATGGAAATAATGCGTTATTGTTCAGATAGAGGAGCCTTTAGATGCACTGCTGGTTCCTCTGACCACAAACCCGACACTAAAGCCTCGCTCTGACAGAACTCAGCCTGAACAGGAGTGGAACGTCTGTGGCAGAGCCTGAAGCAGCTTAGTGGGACTTTAACCTTAAAGT